TTTATATAATACCGAATCGTTATACTGTACAGTAGATCTTATGTTATATTATTTGTTGCATGTCTACGTATAATATTTAGGTGTTTGAGCTAATTAAGAAATACCTACCTTTTCATATTTTATCTGTTCAAAAACAACAAATTGAAGGATCTTTATTATATCATGCAACCTTGATTTCTAAAGAATCAGCTAGTCTTACGAAGGAAGATCTTAACCAGTTGGATTGTGACGATGACTTTCTTGAAGATCAACTTGATAGACCTCAAACGTCTCTCTGTTCTCTTTTAATTGATATACAGCTATCTGATATTGTAGAAGTCTGGGAGCTCTTCGGGATTACGAAGTCATATAAGCATTATGTTAGTTTGTTAAATGATGGTAGACATATATGCACTTGTTTGTCCATAATTAATCGTGAACTCTTATGTGCACATTTTTTCAGATTATGATGACTTCAAAGAATGCCAAATTTAATATTGGTCTTATTGCGAAAAGATAGTATCTAGAAGATATTCAAGATCAAGATGGTCAATTAAAATTACAAGAAACTGTAGAAGTATTAACACAATTTTAGCAAAACAATAATACAGAAATGATGAATGATTTATATTTATTTAATAAGTTCAGACCACAATGTGCATTTACAAGTGAAATAAAAAAACAAGTGTGAAGAGAAGTTAGATACGCCCAAGGTTTCGGAAAGGTTAAGAAAGCCCTTAATTTAGCTCTAGATTTAAATTGTGAAGACGAATTTCTCGATACTATAAGCAACTTTATTACTTGTAAAAAAAGTAGTATACAAAGCATAAGCAATGAGGAAAATTTATGCGTCTTAGATCCCTTGGTTCAAAAACGACGTGGACGTCAACCAAATAAACATATTAAATTAACAACAGAGAAGTCACATCACAGTAGTTCTGGAAACAGTGCAATCAACCCACCTAATCCCAATTTGACATCTAGAGTTACAAATAATGAAAATCAAATAAATACTTATGTCTCTAATCTTTCCATTCAAAAATGACGTGGACGTCTACCAAAATCAGTATCAGAGAAAAAGGTTAACCAAGATAACTCTAATAATGGTTTATTAAATGTATCTAATTATGAAAATACAAATGTACGTACACAACCAATGCAACAATGATATGTATTTAGAAATCCTCTTCATACTCTTAATAGCAATGATATTCATATTCAAGAAAAAACTGATTCTGATGATACTGATAAGGATGGTGATGATGTGTCTGATTCTGATAAATCATTTATTGTAGATGAAAATATAGTCAAGTGTAAATATGTATGTAAAGCATGTGGCAAATCTGGACATAATATCTGAAAATGTAAATTTCAAGAGTGAAAATTGAATTATATATGTAGCGATTTTGTTTTGTTGTCTTATAATATGCTTATGCATTATATACAATAATAGCCTTTATACAATATGTATTGCTTATAATATATATATATATAACAATATTACATAGCATTAAATTGTACGTATGGTACGTAAATGTAAAATTTATATTAAAAGCAATAATGTCACGTGAATATTGTGTTGGTATGTATGAATTTAGCTAAGAAATGAAATTTTAAGTTGATTTGTAATTATTAAAGCTAGAGATAGAGTGAGGGTTAGATTTTGTATAATTATATACTGTAGTTCAATATAAGTAAATTCTAATTCAATTTTACTATAGTTCCTGCTTATACGTAACATATACAGTTCATAGTTAGTATAGAAATTAATTGTACATATTTAGCACCATCAATCCATATTTTATATGTAGAGTCTTATATTTCACTATTAGTTTAGGTTGGTAATATATACAGTATTAGGACTGTCTTGTACCAGTATTAAATAATAATATTTATTATTTAGTATAATTATTACATTTTAACCTAGTTGAGTCGTAGCTTCGTTCTTGCAGCATATTTAGAAGTCTAGAATATTATCAGTTATATAATGTATATATGTACGCATATATATAGTACTTCTATCAATTAAGCATCTGTATGGCTTATCATATACGTATTGGCAATTTAATTCTTTTTGCAGATTTGAGAATTATTTTACATGAATTTAAGGTTGGTATTTAGCGTAAGTATATTTCTAAATAATATTTTAATTAGTATCTCGAAATTTTTCTAGAGTTCTGCAAGTGCCAGACATAGTGCCATTAAAACATAGCACTATTCCCGGCACTTGCAGTCTTCACATTTTTTTAATGTATCAATTAATATATAGTTAGTGCTACATGGAGCGTCTTCAGTCAAAACGTGCCTTAGTGAGGTTTGATAGTATAAAAAGGTGACGACACTCATAATTAGAAAACTAAGTATGTATTATCACATAATGCAGTGATTATCACCGCTATAAGAATATTATTATTGCATTATCACGTGATGCGGTGATTATCACCACTATAAGCATATTATTATTGCATTATCACATGATGCAGTGATTATTACCGCCAGTTATAGTTAGCAATATACAACAATTATAGTCTTATCAGAATTATTAGTCTTAAAACAATTAAAAATAGACATCAAGTTTTTTGTATACTAGTATCTTTCTCTGAAATAGATTTATATAACCTACTGTGATTGCATAAATACACTCATTAGCAAATAATTTCGTTTTTATAAGCAACTCGATCCTTACTAAATAAACCTATATTTTTTAAATTATTAATAAAATTTTTACAGATTTTCCATAATGTAAATCTTTTTTCAAAGTATAAAGCTAAATATTTATTTTCTTAAGTAAAGAATATATAATTCTCTAATAAAAAAGAATATCTAGTTATAAATATAGTCTATAAAATATAAATATCACTTCGAATAATAAAATAAAATATATCTGTTTCTATTATAGAGAATGGTGAGGATTCTTCTGATAAACTAGAAACATTAAACACATATTTTTTATCTGAAAAACTAGCAGTAAAAGACATATATTCTCTTTCTAAAAAACCAGCAATATCAAGAACATATTCTTTTAAAAAACCAGCAATGTCAGATATATATTATTCTTCAAACACATATTCTGAAAAACTAATAGTAGCAAACACATATTCTAAAGAACCAGTGGCAGTAAACACATATTTTTCTAAAAAACCTGTAACAACAAACATGTTTTTTTCTTAAAAACTAGCAATAGTAGATACATATTCTCCTTCTAAATAACTGGTAATAGTAAATATATTTTCTTTTTTTAAAAAACCAGCAGTATTATATACATATTCTTTTTTTAGCAAACTAGCAATATTAAACATATATTTTCTTTTTAGAGAAATAGCAATATTAGACACATATTTTCTTTCTAGAAAACTAGCTACATTAAGCACATATTCTCCTACTAGAAAACCAGCTATGTTAGACATATATTTTTCTTCTGAAGAACTAGCACCAATAAATGTATATTTTTTTGCTAAAGAACCAAAAATATTAGATATATATTTGCCTTCTGTAAAACCAGTGACATATGGAAGCATATATTTTTTTGGAAAACTAAAAAAATAAACAGGAAATATACTCCTTCTGAAGAATCTGAAAAATCAATAGTTAGAACTTATTATTAACAACAATGCAATTCTTGTTTACAGAATTAGAATTAGTAAGTTTATACTTTTTTTTTATTTGATAGCTTTTTTAATATATAAAATATAAACAAGCCTTAGGCTTGTTTTTTATATAGAGTATTGTATGGTGTGGCCTAACTTGTTAGAGTTTGCAAATTAGAAATTACTTGTTAAGTTATCAAAATAAAAAGGTATTAAAAAAATTTTTTATTGGTATTAGTATTTATATACAAATATCATATAATTATACCAATCTAAAGATCTGTGGTAATTTGCATATGCAGTAAAAGATAAAATTCTTATATATATATATATATATATATATATATTCTAGCCAATTAGCATTGAGATTATATTATAGATGGATAAGTTAAACTATTAGTATGATTTTACTATATAATAAATAGCACGCTCTTATATATAAAACCTGCTAATACACCTGCCCAAATATTTTAAAAATATTATCTGTTGTATTTATAGTGATAAATACAGTATAAATACTATCCTAATGAAATCTATATTTACTGTAGATAAAGAGATCTACTACATAAACTGTACTCTTACTATATCTTCTACATTAACTACTTTTACTATTCCTACAATCTTAGCTACTATTTCACTTAATATATCTAAAAAAGACTTAACTTCTATTTTCAAAAACTTGCAAAATACATCTTCTAACCAAGTCTTTAGCTCTTCTATCTCTTCTACTAATAAATTATTCCCAATACTTTCTACTAAATATACTAATATTAATATTAGCAAATCTCCTCAAATTTTATAATCATTAGGAAATTTTGAATATAGATAAGTATCAAATATTTGATAAATATCGATAATAGTTACCAGTATGGGTGATTATTAATGATAATTATTATTATTGATTTAAATTATTAATTGTTAAATTTCAATAGTCAACTCTTATCGGTTGTTCTTGATAAATTTTCTATTAATAGTAATCGATTAGATAATTGATTTAAATTAATTAGATATTATCTAATCAATTACTATCAATAGAAAAATTTATCAAAAACAATTTTAAAGTTGGCTATTAAAATCTAATAGTCATTGATTTAAATTAATTACCTAATCGATTACTATCAATAGAAGATTTATCAAGAACAATTGATAAGAGTTGACTATCAAAATTTAACAATTAATGATTTAAATCAATAATGGTAATTATTGTTAGTAATTATCTATATTGGTAACTATCAATAAGAATTATCAAATATTTGATAGTAATTACTATTTATCTATATTCAAAATTTTCTGATGATTTATCTATTTAAGCAAACTTAAATTTACAATTAATCCTCTCTTTTCTACTCTATTACTACTTACCTTTACTGATAATTCTTAATCCTCTTCTACTAAAACTATGTTTTATTTTATGAAGATTGATATTGACACTTTTGCCAATAACTATTCTAACACTACTATAACTAACCAACCTATAAATTCTAACCTTAACCAGCCATCTAAACCTAAATATGATACTTTTAATAATTTTGACTAGTTTCAACAGAAATAGAGAACCAAATACAACTTAATACACTTGAACACCAACTATTTAACTTTATTAAACCTTATTTGCTTCTAGCAAACTTGTCAAATCTATCTACAGTAATTCTGATAACAATAAAAATATTAAAGTATCTAAACATAGTTTAACTACCTTATAGCTTTTCTAGCAAGAAAATAATTCAAATTTCTTTTTAATTTTATTTTTGATACTAACCCAAAATTTAATCTTACCTTTCTCTATTATACTTGACATATTTAAATATCTACTTTTACAATTTACAACTATACTCTTTACCTATTTTGACTACAAAAAAAATTTAATATTAACAGGCTCTATTTCTCTCTTTAGTATTCAAAACAGAAATCAAGTTACTCTTAACTTAGCACAAATTTACCTCTTCTTGCAAGACAAATATTAGACAATCCATGCTCAAAAGTTCATTCAAGATCTTGATATCAAGCCTATTTACTTCAGAATTTACTATTATTATAGTAAAGATATATCTAACAAAGCTTTTTTTCAAATTCAACATAATAACAAATTCAATATTAATCTTAATCTTAATATTTTTAAAAAGCAATTTACTAAAAACTTCCACATTCCATCTTTCAAACTCTTCACTAAAGAGTTTAAGAACTAATTTATTACATTCATCCTACTAAATTTTCTAATAAGTCACAAGATTTTTAAAAGAAAATATTCAATCATATCTGATACAACATTGCTATAAAATTAGCTTCTGAATATAAACAACTCCTACTTACTACTTATATATTTTTTGAAATTACTTCATCATAAAGCCATAACTAAAGCAACATTTTATTACATCTATACCTGCCAAGCCAATAATGAATATTACAACAACTAATACTGAAGATTCTGATTTCAAAGATCAACATACTTATAAAAATATTTATCAACATTTTTTATAAAGAATCACTTACAGTTTACTCTACTTCTTCTTCTTTATCAGACCTATCTACTTTCTTACCTAAAATTTAACTAACTTTTAACTTTATGATCTTCAACAAAGAAGATTTTTTATTTTGCAATCTTCTCTATACTATTTTCTACACAGACCTTCTCTACACTAGCAAATGAAGCTAAAATATTTTATAATGAGAAAAACAATACTAAATCGAATATATATTGCAGTATATTTATTTTCATACATACTTTAACAAGTATCTTGAAGTAGCAGCAAAACATAACAAAATCAATAATTTATTACAAAATAAATCCATTAATAAGCTTCTTAAACTAACCGCTAATCTTATCTTTATTGACAAAGTTATATCCTATTTTGACATTTTCAAAAATTCTAAACCAAATATAATGGTTATCTTCTTTCTCAAGCTGAACAACTTGTTATCAACTACTACAAAATCATCAAACCAACTGTTTCTAACTCTCTTTTTTATAATCTTAAAAAATTAAAAGAATTAAAAGAACTAAAAGAATTAACTAAAATCCAAGTTTCTGACACTACTACCCAATAGCTTAAATCATTATCACAATCTTCTGACTTTACTAAACCCCAACAAACTCTTAATCAAGTTCAATCTTTTTAATTAAGCCTTTTGTAGAAAACATTAAAGTAGCTACCACCTCTAAAATAATAATGTTTTTCATATTTAGTACTCTATTTTTAGAAGAGAATAATATAAGTAGGCAGGCAATAAAGCCTATTTATATAGAGGAACCAAGTAATGATGGTCAGACTCAATATATAGAGCAAACTTTGAATTCTTGCACAGCTATAAAAGCTGGGCATATAGCAAGTATTTCTACAGAAAGTTTTTTTTTCTTCTCAGATACCAATATATTTCTTCTCTTTAAGAAGACTTGTTTTAATAAATTCCTTATCAAATACAACCTTCCTTTACTTTTCTCTTCACAAACATTGAAATCTTTTCTTCATCATCTCTTAAAACACTCATTCTTCCAACTCTAAAATATTAGTTAATATTGCTATACTCAAAATACATATTTATCTTGATATTAATAAACAAGCACTTCTTGGCTATATAATTTTCTCTTTTAGTCAATACTCTATCTACTCTTCTTTTTTTATTTTGTTATCTTCAACACAAGTTGAGTATTCAAATCTGAATCTCACTATTGCTATTCACAATATTAGAGGCTTCAATACACTCTTCAAAAAACAAACTTAGCAAGACTATTATATTAACTACAACATCTCAATTACTAGCATTACCAAAATAGAAATATCAAATAAAACAAAGTTTTCTTTTTGTAACAATAATTTTTTTGTCTACTACTAGGCAAATTTAGACTACTTTGCAGAAGGATCTGCTATTATAATATGTAACTATCTTAAACTACATGTATATAGCTGCTATACCTATTTGGAAGAGGCTGTTGCACTTGATCTGTTTTTAAAAATTTCAGAATCTTGTAATTGAATTTTGATGATTTTAGGCTTGTTAGAATTACCTCATTAAGATAAATATTTTTATAGTAAAATTATCCAAAATGAACCACTAGTTTAAAAGTTATTTAGTATTAAATTTTAAATTTTTTAAAATTTTAATAATTTTAACTAATCAAAAGCTATTACTATATTAGAATCTGGTATTTTTCTGACCCTTTTCCTACTCTAAAAATCAGATGATAAATAGTGTCTCTTTGCATCTTGGTTAGATATAAGTATAATAAGTAGTTGTGATTAGAGAGTTTAAATAAACCTTCTCATAGTTGAAGTATAGATATAGCAAATAGTATAGAACCTCTAGTATTGCACTAATACTTTGAACAAATTACTTAAATTAGACACCAAAAGTGCATATATAACTTGATATACTTTTATTATAATTGTAATATTGCTAATCATTTAATAAAAAGGATTATTAGCTATAGAGATTACTTTAATACCAAAAAAAATATTTTTAAGTGATAGTAATACTAGTAATAATTACTAGTAGTAATAAATAGCAAATTTTTTTTTAACTTTTCTGTACTATAACTAGCAATTGAAATGCTAGTAGTGTATTTTTATTATTATTAATTAATTAATAAATAATTTAACTATTTACAATATAGATATTTACAAATTTTTTTACTTAGTCAGTTAATTGAAGAATTGATGCTTAGTGTCTTGATCTCTTTTACAACCCTACTACTTATAATTGCTAGAATAATTGTCTCTAGTTTGTTATTCTCTTCCCATTTGATATTAATATACCAACACCAAATTTTATAAATTGCCATTATGTTTAGTTATTGGGTTGTTGTATAGTATCTTTTTTGTGTGATATTGTTTTTTGTAAAGATATCTTTAATGCTATTCGGAATTATCACATTATTTTGAATTTTCAAAAATTTATAGACTTCTGTTCAAATTGTTTTGTTAATTCTATATTTT